CCAGCTTTGTTCTTTTTGCTTAGGATTGTCTTGGCAATTTGGGCTCTTTTTTGGTTCCATATGAACTTTAAAGTAGTTTTTTCCAATTCTGTGAAAAAAGCCATTGGTAGCTTGATGGTAGCTTGAATCTATAAATTACCTTAGGCAGTATGGCCATTTTCACGATATTGATTCTTCCTATCCATGAGCATGGAATGTTCTTCCATTTGTCTGTGTCTTCTTTAATTTTGTTGAGCAGTGGTTTGTAGTTCTCCTTGAAGAGGCCTTTCCCATCCCTTGTAAGCTGGATTCCTAGGTATTTTGTTATCTTTGTAGCAATTGTGAATGGGAGTTCACTCATGATTTGGCTGTTTGCCCCCTATAGGAATGCTTGTGATTTTTGCACATTGATTTTGTATCCTGAGACTTTGCTGAAGTTGCTTATCAGCTTAAGGAGATTTGGGGCTGACAATGGGGTTTTCTAAATATACAATCATGTAATCTGCAAACAGGGGCAATTTGACTTCTTCTTTTCCTAATTGAATACCATTTATTTCTTTCTCTTGCCTGATTTCCCTGGCCAGAACTTCCAACACTATGTTGAATAGGAGTGGTGAGAGAGGGCATCCTTGTTTTGTGGTGGTTTTCAAAGGGAATGCTTCCAGTTTTTGTCCATTCATTATGATATTGGCTATGGGTTTATAAAAAATAGCTCTTATAACTTTGAGATACGTTCCATCAATACCTAGTTTATTGAGAGTTTTTAGCATGAAAGGCTGTTGAATTTTGTCGAAGGCCTTTTCTGCATCTATTGAGATAATCGTGTGGTTTTTGTCATTGGTTCTGTTTATGTGATGGGTTACATTTATTGATTTGCATATGTAGAACCAGCCTTGCATCCCAGGGATGAAGCCAACTTGATCATGGTGGATAAGCTTTTTGATGTGCTGCTGGATTCGGTTTGCCAGTATTTTATTGAGGATTATCGCATCGATGTTCATCAGGGATATTGGTCTAAAAATTCCTTTTTTTGTTGTGTCTCTTCCAGCATTTGCTATAAGAATGATGCTGGCCTCATAAAATGAGTTAGGGAGGATTCCCTCTTTTTCTATTGATTGGAATAGTTTCAGAAGGAATTGTACCAGCTCCTCTCTATACCTCTGGTAGAATTCAGCTGTGAATCCATCTGGTCCTGGACTCTTTTTGGTTGGTAGCCTATTAATTATTGCCTCAATTTCAGAGCCTGTTATTGTTCTATTCAGAGATTCAACTTCTTCCTACTTTAGTCTTGGGAGAGTGTATGTGTCCAGAAATTTATCAATTTCTTCTAGATTTTCTAGTTTATTTGCATAGAGGTGTTTATAGTATTCTATGATGGTAGTATGTATATCTGTGGTATCGGTGGTCTATCATTTTTTATTGCATCTATTTGATTCTTCCCTCTTTTCTTCTTCATTAGTCTTCCTAGTGGTCTATCAATTTTGTTGATCTTTTCAAAAAAACAGCTCCTGGATTCATTGATTTTTTGAAGGGTTTTTTGTGTCTCTATCTCTTTCAGTTATGCTCTGATTGTAGTTATTTCTTGACTTCTGCTAGCTTTTGGATTTGTTTGCTCTTGCTTCTCTAGTTCTTTTAATTGTGGTGTTAGGGTGTTGATTTTAGATCTTTCCTGCTTTTTTTGTGGACATTTAGTGCTATAAATTTCCCTCTACACACTGCTTTAAATGCATCCCAGAGATTCTGGTACGTTGTATCTTTGTTCTCATTGGTTTCAAATAACATCTTTATTTCTGCCTTCATTTTGTTCTTTACCCAGTAGTCATTCAGGAGCAGGTTGTTCAATTTCCATGTAGTTGTGTGGTTTCTTAATCCTGAGTTCTAATTTGATTGCACTGTGGTCTCAGAGACCGTTTTTTTTATTTCTGTTCTTTTACATTTGCTGAGGAGTGCTTACTTCCAATTATGTGGTCAATTTTAGAATAAGTGTGATGTGGTATTGAAAATGTATATCCTGTTGACTGGGGTGGAGAGTTCTGTAGATGTCTATTAGGTCTGCTTGGTGCAGAGTTGAGTTCAAGTCCTGGATATCCTTGTTAACTTTCTGTCTCGTTGATCTGTCTAATATTGACAGTGGGGTGTTAAAGTCTCCCATTATTATTGTGTGGGAATCTAAGTCCCTTTGTAGGTCTCTAAGGACTCGCTTTATGAATCTAGGTGCTCCTGTATTGGGTGCATATATATTTAGGTTAGCTCTTCTTGTTGAATTGATCCCTTTACCATTATGTAATGGCCTTCTTTATCTCTTTTGATCTTTGTCGGTTTAAAGTCTGTTCTATCAGAGACTAGGATTGCAACCCCTGCTTTTTTTTGCTTTCCATTTGCTTGGTAGATCTTCCTCCATTCCCTTTATTTTGAGCCTATGTGTGTCTCTGCACATGAGATGGGTCTCCTGAATACAGCACACTGATGAGTCTTGACTCTTTATCCAATTTGCCAGTCTGTGTCTTTTAATTGGGGCATTTAGCCCATTTACATTTAAGGTTAATATTGTTATGTGTGAATTTGATCCTGTGATTTTGATGTTTGCTGGTTACTTTGCCCATTAATTGATGCAGTTTCTTCATAGCATCGATGGTCTTTACTATTCAGCATGTTTTTGCAGTGGCTGGTACTGGTTGTTTCTCTCCATGTTTAGTGCTTCCTTCAGGAGCTCTTGTAAGGCAGGCCTGGTGGTGACAGAATTTCTCAGCATTTGCTTGTCTGTAAAGGATTTTATTTATCCTTCACTTACGAAACTTAGTTTGGCTGGATATGAACTTCTGGGTTGAAAAAAATTCTTTTCTTTAAGAATGGTGAATATTGGCCCCCACTCTCTTCTGGCTTGTAAGGTTTCCGCCAAGAGATCCACTGTTAGTCTGATGGGCTTCCCTTTGTGGGTAACCCGACCTTTCTCTCTGGCTGCCCTTAACATTTTTTCCTCCATTTCAACCTTGCTGAATCTGACAATTATGTGTCTTGGGGTTGCTCTTCTTGAGGAGTATCTTTGTGGTGTTCTCTGTATTTCCTGAATGTGAATGTTGGCCTCCCTTGCTAGGTTGGGGAAGTTCTCCTGGATAATATCCTGAAGAGTGTTTTCCAACTTGGTTCCATTCTCCCCATCACTTTCAGATACACCAATCAAACCTAGATTTGGTCTTTTCACATAGTCCCATATTTCTTGGAGGTTTTGTTCATTTCTTTTTACTCTTTTTTCTCTAAACTTCTCTTCTCGCTTTATTTCATTAATTTGATCTTCAATCACTGATACCCTTTCTTCCACTTGATCGAATCGGCTATTGAAGCTTGGACATGTGTCATGAAGTTCTCGTGCCATGGTTTTCAGCTCCATCAGGTCATTTAAGGTCTTCTCTACAGTTTATTCTAGTTAGCCGTTTGTCTAACCTTTTTTCAAGGTTTTTAGCTTCCTTGCAATGGGTTTGAACATACTCCTTTAGCTCGGAGAAGTTTGTTATTACCGACCTTCTGAAGCCTACTTCTGTCAACTCATCAAAATCATTCTGCATCCAGCTTTGTCCCATTGCTGGCAAGGAGCTGTGATCCTTTGGAGGAGAAGAGGCACTCTGGTTTTTAGAATTTTCAGCTTTTCTACTCTGGTTTCTCCCCATCTTTGTGGTTTTGTCTACCTTTGGTCTCTGATGTTGGTGACCTACAGATGGGGTTTTGGTGTAGATGTCCTTTTTGTTGATGTTGGTGCTATTCCTTTCTGTTTGTTAGTTTTCCTTCAAATAGTCAGGTCTCTCAGCTGCAGGTCTGTTGGAGTTTGCTGGAGGTCCAATTCAGACCCTGTTTGCCTGGGAGGTCCACTCCAGACCCTGTTCATCAGCAGAGGCTGCAGAACAGCTGCAACAGCTGCAGGTCTGTTGGAGTTGGCTGGAGGTCCATTCCAGACCCTGTTCACCAGTGGAGGCTGCAGAACAGCAAATATTGCAGAACAGCAAATATTGCTGCCTGATCCTTCCTCTGAAAGCTTAGTCCCAGAGGGGCACCTGCCTATACGAGGTGTCTGTTGGCCCTTATTGGGAGATGTCTCCCAGTTAGGTTACACAGGGGTCAGCGACCCACTTGAGAAGGCAGTCTGTCCGTTCTCAGAGCTCAAATGCCATGGTGGGAGAACCACTGCTATCTCCAGAGCTGTCAGACAGGTACATTTAAGTCTGCAGAAACTGTCTGCTGCCTTTTGTTCAGCTATGCCCTGCCCAAGAGGTGGAGTCTCTAGAGGCCTTGCTGAGCTGCAGTGGGCTCCGCTCAGTTTGAGCTTCCAAGCTGCTTTGTTTATCTACTCAAGCCTCAGCAATGGCAGATGCCCCTCCCCTAGCCAGGCTGCCACCTTGCAGTTTCATCTCAGACTGCTAGCAGTAAGCAAGGCTCCATGGGCATAGGACCCACTGAGCCAGGCACAGGAGAGAATCTTCTTGTCTGTCAGTTGCTAAGACCTTGGGAAAGCATGGTATTTGGGCGGGAGTGTCCCGTTTTTCCAGGTACAGTCTGTCATGGCTTCCCTTGGCTAGGAAAGGGAAATCCCCCAACCCCTTGCACTTCCCGGGTGAGGCGATGCCCTGTCCTGCTTCGGTTCACCCTCCTTGGGCTGCATCCACCGTTCAACCAGTCCCAATGAGATGAACCATGTACCTCAGTTGGAAATGCAGAAATCACTTATCTCCTGCGTTGATCATGCTGGTTGCTGCAGACCAGAGCTGTTCCTATTCAGCCATCTTGTGCTGCCCTCAAGACCTCACTTTATCTTAAATCTTCCCTAGCAGCTAGCCAAGGTCATTGCACAAAATAGACACTCAAGAGTATCAAATTGAATCAAAACACACAATCAATGTATGTAAAACTCATGGAATAAAATTTATCTTATGCTTATTTTCCCATAAACCATAATTTATAGTCCTTCAACATAAATAAGGAAAAAATATAATTTGTCTCTGTAATGTTAACAAAATACAATGACTCATCTATAACATATTTATTTCCTATTTACATTTTCATTTTTATATAAATCATTTTGCATCGTATCACATAAAAAAAGAAAATATAAAGCTTAAAAGTCACTGAAGAAAGCATCACACTGTACATTTCTCAGCAGTCTCGGAGCTCTCGTTTCTTGCCTTTTTTTGATTTTTTGGTTGTTTCCTGACGAATGGTATCATATTCCAATATGGCTATTTTGGAAAGTCTCTCTAAGTATTGAGACGGTGCTCCAGTGAGAGGATCACTGAAGCCAGAACCTGGAGGAGGAGGCGGGGAGTCAGCTATTAAAATGAATTAAGCACACACAAATAATATTCTATTAAATATAATGTGACTGAAATATTTCTTCCACAAATGACTATTACACACTACTAGTTCTTACACTACTGAGGTATATCAACCCAGAAAAAGCATGGTACTGCCATAAAAACAGACACATAGACCAATGGAACAGAATAAACAATGCAGAAACAAATCTATACATCTATAGTGGATTCATTTTCAACAAAAGAGCCAAGAATATACACTAGGGAAAAGACAGTCTCATCAATAAATGGTGCTGGGAAAACTGGATATTATGGATATTATAAAACTGGATATTATGCAGAAAAATGAAACCACACCCCATCCCTCACCGTATAAAAAAAATCAAATCAAAATGGATTAAAGACTTAAATCTAAGATCTCAAACTATGAATACTAGAAGAAAACATTGGGGAAACTCTCCAGGATATTGGAGTGGTCAAAGATTTCCTGAGTAATACCCCAGAAGCACAGGCAAACAAAGCAAAAATGGACAAATGGGATCACATCAAATTATTAATAAAAAGCTTCTGTACAGCAAAGGAAACAACAAAATGAAAAGAACCTACAGAATGGGAGAAAATATTTGCAAACTACCCATCTTACAAGGGATTAACAAACAGAATATATAAGGAGCTTAAACAACGCTATGGGAAAAGTCTAATAATCCCATTTTAAAATAGACAAAAGGGCTAAGCAGGGTGGCTCACGTCTATAATCCCAGCACTTTGGGAGGCTGAGGTGAGCAGATCCCTTGAGCTCAGAAGTTCAAGACCAGCCCGGGCAACACAGCAAGACTCTGTCTCATTTAAACTCTCATGTTAATAAAAATTAATTAATTAATTAAGTGGGCAAAATACTTGAATAGACATTTCCAAAAAGAAGACATGCAAACAGCAAACAGGCATATGAAAAGGTGGTCAACATCACTGATTATCAGAGACATCAAAACTACAATGAGATATCATTTAACCCCAATTAAAATGGCTTTTATCTAACAGACAGGAAATAACACATGCTGGCGAGGATGTAGAGAAAAGGGGACCCTCATTCACTGTTAGTGGGAATGTACATTACTACAACCACTGTGAAGAACAGTTTGGAGGTTTCTCAGAAAACCAAAAATGGAGCTACCATATGGTCCAGCAATCCTATTGCTAGGCATATACCCAAAAGAAAGGAAATTGGTGTATCAAAGAGGTATCTGCACTCCTATGTTTACTGCAGCACTGTTCACAATAACCAAGATTTGGAAGCAACTGAAATGTCCATCAACAGATGAATGGATGAAGAAAATGTGGTACATATACACAATGGAGTACTATTCAGCCATAAAAAAGAATGAGATCCTGTCATTTGCAACATTATGGATGGAACCGGAGATCATTATGTTAGGTTAAATAAGCCAGGCACAGAAAGACAAATTTCACATATTCTCACTTATTTGTGGGTGCTAAAAACTAGAACGATTGAACTTATAGAGATAGAGAATAGAAGCATGGTTACCAGAGGCTGGGAAGGATAGTGGAGGAGAGATGGGGGGCGGGGGGAGTGGGGATGGTTAATAGGTACAAAAAATACAAAGAATGAATAAGAACATGTATTTGATAGCACAATAGGGCAATTATAGTCAATAATAATCTACTTGTACATTTAAAAATAACTAAAAGAGTATAATTGGATTGTTTGTAACACAAAGGAGAAATGCCTGAGGAGATAGATACTCCATTCACCTATATGTGATTATTACACATTGTATGCCTGTATCAAAATATCTCAAATACCCCATAAATATATACACCCACTATGTACCCAGAAAATTAAAAAAAACTACTAGTTTTTAATATAACACATATTTTGAATTAGAAATGCCATGTTTACTTTCCTTTTTTTTCTTTTTTTTGAAATGGAGGATGGAGTCTCGCTCTGTCGCCCAGGCTGGAGTGCAGTGGCCCAATCTCGGCTCACTGCAAGCTCCATCTCCCGGGTTCACACCATTCTCCTGGCTCAGCCCCCCAAGTAGCTGGGACTACAGGCGCCTGCCACCACGCCGGCTAATTTTTTGTATTTTTAGTAGAGACGGGGTTTCACAGTGTTAGCCAGCATGGTCTCAATCTCCTGACCTCCTGATCTGCCCGCCTCGGCCTCCCAAAGTGCTGGGATTACAGGCGTGAGCCATTGCGCTCGGCCTGTACAATACTTTTTAAAACATAGGACAACTGTGAGATTTATTTCAAAGCAAAATGCATCATCTCCACAAATAATTAACTCATTTCATATTTTACATGCCTATCAAGTTATTTTCTTCCAATAAAAACATTTATCATAAATGCTAAGTGAAGTAAAATTGTAAAGTAAAATAAACTTGTTCACTTAACTGAAATAGCATTAAGCTTCTATCATAGGGTGGCAGTAATAACAACAGATAGCATTTGTTGAATGATCTTTGTCAAGTATTTTACATCTATTTTATCCATACAACACTACTATGAAGGAGTCATCTGTACTATCTCAAGTTACAGATTTTAAAAAGACAATTTAGGGATGCTAAATAACTTGCCCAAGCACATATTTAGTAACTGTCAAAGTCAGGATTTGAACCCAGATTCATCAAAGTTCAAATCACTACATATTACCCCTAAATACATAAATATGTAGAAATACTTCTATTTAAAAACATATATGGAGCTTTGAAAATAATATACTGACCTATATTACTTTAAAATATTATTATTTAACTTCAGTTTCAAGTGTCAAAAAAAGCACTATCGTCAATTCTCCAATGTAGTTGTTATTTTTCTGTTTGTTTTGTTTGCAGGGGTAATATGAGTGAGGAGTTCAGAGAGAAATAGCTGAGAGTTAAGAATATGATCAGGACTTCTGTTCTTAGCAGTACAATGGACTTGACACTTTAAAAGGCCCTCTGGCAGCAAAATAACTAGATTGCAGGCATTAGGCAAACCTGAAAAAACTTCAAAGAATCAGTATCATACACACAAATGCAATTAAGTTGGAAGTTGTTAATAATAAGATAAATTTAAAATTCTGAAATATTTAGAAATGTATACACATGTATTAGTCCATTTTTACACTGCTGATAAGGACATAACTGAGACTGGGTAATTTGTAAAGAAAAAGAGGTTTAATGAACTCACAGTTCCACCTGGCTGGGGAAGCCTCACAATCGCCAGAAGGCAAAAGACATGTCTTACATGGCGTTAGATAAGAGAGAATGAGAACCAAGCAAAAGGGGTTTCCTCTCATAAAACCAACGGGCGTGGTGGCTCACGCCTGTAATCCCAGCACTTTGGGAGGCCCAGGCAGGCAGATCATGAGGTCAGGAGATTGAGACCATCCTGGCTAACACAGTGAAACCCCGTCTCTACTAAAAATACAAAAAAACAGCCGGGCGTGGTGGTGGGTGCCTGTAGTCCCAGCTACTTGGGAGGCTGAGGCAGGAGAATGGCGTGAACCCGGGAGGTGGAGCTTACCGTGAGCAGAGATCGCGCCACTGCACTCCAGCCTGGGTGACAGAGCAAGACTCTGTCTCAAAAAAAAAAAAAAAAAAATCGGATCTCCTGAGAATTATTCACTACCACGAGAACGGTATAGGGGAACCACCCCCATGATTCAATTATTTCCCTTTGAGTCCATCCCACAACACATGGGAACTATGGGAACTACAATTCAAGATGAGATTTCAGTGGGGACACAGTCAAACCATATCAACACACTTTCTAAAGTATCAGTAATAAAAAATCATAATAAATATAAAATATTTGTTGCTAAATGATAAATATCACAAAAGTTGTGTAATGGAGCAAAAGAGAGAGGCTTATATCCTAAAATGTCTATGTTAGAAAAGAAGGTTGAAAATTTAAAACATAGGTATTAGATACACATTAGGAAAAGAGTAAACCCAAAGAACATGAAGGAAAAAGATAATATAGCAAAGGGGAGAAATCAATGAAGTAGAAAACCAAGTTACAATAAAAGAGATTTTTTAAAAAGACAAAAGCTCTTCATTGAAAAAAACTAATAAAAAAGGAAAGCCTCTGGTGACATTACTCAAGACAATAAAAGAAGGCACAAATATATAATATTGGGAAAAGAGGAACAGAATTACAGATAAAGCAAAGACTAAACTTAATGCTAATAAATTTTTAAAACTTAGACAAAATACAAAAGTTTCTAGAAAATATAACTTACCAAAACTGATTGAAAAATTAGAATACCTTAAGAGCCCTAAATTTAAAATGATTGAGCCAATATTAAAAGATTCTCCCAAAGAAAACAAGTAACCCAAATGAATTTTACAAATGAATTTCCTCTAACTTTTGAGAGAAAAATCATTCCAATTTTAGGTCGCATCCTTCAGAGAGTAGAAAGAGAAGGAATAGTCCCGAATTCATTCCACAAGGCCATTATAATGTGGACACTGAATCCAGACAAGGACAGAACAAAAAAGAAAATTCATGGCAATCTCACTCTACTTACCAGTATAGGTAAAAAATCCCAAGTGCGATATTAGCAAATTAAATATGGCAGAACATAAACAAATAATAAATCACTTCTAAGTTTGGTGTATTTCAGGAATTCAAGAGAGACTTAACATTACAAAATCTGTAAATGTTATTCTTCACATTAAAATATTAAACAAAAAATATGATCACCTCAATCAGTTCAGGGAAATTATTTAGTAAAATTCAACTTCCATTTAAAAGAAAAAAAACTCTTAGCAAATTAAAGGGAGCTTCTTTAACTTCATTAAGCATATCTGTTCAAAACCCAAAGCAAGCATCATTCTTTTTTTTTTTTTTTTTTTGAGATGGAGTCTCGCTCTGTCACCCAGGCTGGAGTGCAGTGGCTCAATCTCAGCTCACGGCAAGCTCCGCCTCCCGGGTTCACGCCATTCTCCTGCTTCAGCCTCCCGAGTAGCTGGAACTGCAGGTGC